TTGAGGGAATTAAGAATTATTGTCATGATTTGTGAATCAGCTTGCCAAATTGCATGTTCTTCACTCTAAACATTGCCTGCTTGCGGAGTTTCTCATGTGTTTTGTCTTGTCAATTTTGACCTATGAAGCTCTGACAATTGAAATAAAATCTTACGATTTCATAAATTATTTGTTTTTTTTTTACTTTCAAAGATTAATTAAGATAACGAAATATTGAATTAGTCATTTATCTAATTTAATTTTTTACATAATTAATACATTAATTAGTAAAATTCGTTTTTTAATACATATAAAAGGACAAATAGTGGCAACAAATGTAAATAAAAGAGGAATTTGTGGGCAGAAACCCCGCCCTGCCCTGGTTTATAGGTCCGGCATGCTGGTGACCCTGCCACCACGAAGTCCATAATCCCTACCTTCCTCGATTCTCTGTCACAACAAGTCCGATTGGAGAGTCCCATCCTCGAATCTAAGGACACTATGCCATCCCACAAGGAGAGAGCCATGGTGGCAGCATCCACCGGTGGCGTCAAGAGGATTGACAACAAAGCCATTGCAAAGGCTTACCGCCATCACTTCCATTGCCACTGCAAAGGCTCACTGCTGTCATTTCCTGTGCGACTGCAATACATCCAAAGAGTTGAGCTGCATCACTTCCAGTGTTTTCAAGGACTGACTGCGTCACTTCCAGTGCATTCAATGGTTAGGCCATGTCCGGTCCAAGATAAGTTGTCTGACATCATATTGTACAGCACCTGTTGGGTCTCCATGCGGTGGTGCATTTGAAGTGAGGAAACGGCTTCCCATTTACGAACCAAGCTTCATAGATTTTGAAGCATTAAATTAGAAGAGTTAGTTGTTGAAATTATACACATACTCTTAGGTGCTTCTCATTTGATGCATTAACTCCCCATGTAAACATTTTGTGAAGTGCATAAGAGACAGTTAAAAGTTTTGTAAAAGGAGTAACGTTATCTGGTTGCTGTGTCTACTGATGAGGAGTATCACTGCTGATTTTTTTTCATTTGGTTAGTACAATTTAACTGCTATATTCTTGATTGCCTGAGCTGCAATAAAAAAAGTTTTCTCTGAAGAGCGATCATCAATATAATGGGATTGAGAATGCATGTTGAGTGTTAACTATGCCTATTTTTGACGTATTGAATGGAGTGATCTTTGGGTTAAAGGTGACATATGAAATCAGAAAGTCTAATACTATTAGCTTTCTCTCTTTTTTTGCAAGTTAAGCTTTCTATTACTGGATTATTTTAGGATTTGTGTCATTGGCTCATTGCTCTTGATAAAATTATGCTGTGTAGTAATCCTTGGGACTTTGTCTATATTCTTACTCTCTCTTTCATTCTAAATAAGGAATGGCCTTGTATAATCAATTCAGATGTCCTCGTTTTAACAGGGTCAAGGATACTCATTGCCTGCAGATATACAATATGTTGATGCTAGATGGGAAGTTCCTGTTGTACTTCCTCTGCGTGACTGTTTTGCCCAAGAGATCAACATGCTTTGCCACCTTGATGGGTTTGTAGTCCTCTAGACATGTTAAACATTGACGAGAATAGAAATTAGTGTTTTTGTTTGTTTCTTCTGTTATAAGTTGTGTAATTTCACTTTATTTTGCATGTGGTCTTCTATGTTTATCGGACTGAATTATATAAATCTTACTTAATGTATGTGTCTCATCTCTTTTTGTCAGGGCAGTCTAAAGACTGTGAAGTTGTCTACAGGTCCGTGCTCTAGCATTAATTGCTTGGTATCATCTTTTGTTTCTTTATTGCAGGTATAATTTGGTGTGCCCTCAATCCTTTTATATCTTGGAGACATGTAATGATATATAAAGAAAGTCAGTTCTTGTTACTGTGTGTGTTTCAATATGAGCCATCGGTTTTTTATGACTCCATTGACTCTGCCTTTGAGTCAAGTTCTGTCACTAGATGTTTTAGGCTATTGTGTGGCTTAATGCTTGCTTTTGTGGAAGATGCCATTTTTTGTTTAAAAGATCTACTTTAGCTGGAACTTTAATTTAATCAGAAAATAAGTAGTTGAATACCTATTTTGCAGGAAGAAAATCCATCTCGAGAGAGTACAATTGTAAGAACAGCCGGTAAACTCACTCCTTTTCAATTCAATAGGATTCCAGAGATCATTGATGGAAATGTTCCTTTGGCGACTCGAAGACGACAGAAGAGATATAATCTCAAATCAAATGAGTCTGTTTCCTCTGAATCTTTCTGTCCTCTCTGCAACAGCCCACTCAACAAGAGTGAGATTGTTGATTGGAGCAATATGTATAGCCACAGAAATAGTGACAGTTTTTACAATACCTGCTGTTCAAGTTGTCAGTTTCAGATTCTTCCAAGTGATTCAACATCAATCGAACAATTTTATATGGATTTACCTCAACCAATGGTTAGCCGAGCAAAGCAAGCTAGCCATGGTAATTTGAGTCTGCTAAGGTGAGAATTTGTTTTGCTATCAATATCAGTTGGTTGTATTTCAAATTTGTTATTAACTCATGCCACTCCGACCTTGGTCACTGCTGCTAGCCTTGTTGATTCCTACAAATTTGTCGGTGTAATCTGTTTTCTTATTGCTAATTTTGACTAGTATATGTCATTGTTAAATGAAAGTACAAGTATGGTAAAAGAAATTACATGAATATCAGAATTTTGGATAATCTGTTTCTTTGGCTTTGTTAGTATTCGTCAAATATAATGGACCCTCTTGAATCCATGTCTGATAATTAATTGTGATGATGAAATTCCTGAATCAAATGGTTTGACATTAAATTCTTTTAACTATCATTAGGAAACAGCCGTACTTTAATTTAGGTCAGGTTGTCCAGTCTTCGGGTTTTTTTTTTCCCGTAAAGGGTTATTTCTCTTGTTCATGCCTTTGGTTAAGACATTGCTTGATATACATACCTATGCTTTTTTTCGGTGTATGCACACTTAATTGCTTGAGTTATTATGGTCAATATTATTAATTGTGATTATGCTTTCTTTGAAGTATGCTTGAAAGATACTATTTATTTTATGGTAGGAACTTAATTGTGATTATTGCTTTCTTTGAAGTATGCTTATATTCTTGTTTTCAGGGAGCAAATACAAGATTTTCTGCTTTCTGATGGTGAAGATGAAAAATAAGATTACTTGACTGACTGTTAGAGGTTTCTTTTTGCCTGTGGCTATACAAAGAGTTATAAAGCACTGAGATCCACTGGCCTCATTCGGATCGTGGTTGTTGATTATCTGGGATACTATTTGAGAGCATATTTTAGCGGGGATAGAATAGATAATGTTTTGTATCCTTGGCAATTCAAAGAGTGATAAAGCAGACTACGGGCGTCCAGGTTGTTTATAATTGGCTTTATCAACATCAAGGTTATTTTGATACTGCTTTAGCATTGATTTTGCGCCTATTTAATGGGAAGTGTTGGCCTTCTACGCCAATAAAGAAATCATTTTGTAACTTCTGATTAGTATGTATGACATTGTTTTTGGAAGAAATGAGTGAAAATAGACAATTATTTATCGATGTTTTATTATATAAAATAGAGAGACATTAAGATTGTGATTTTAAAGATATAGAAACCTTGAAATCTTACAGTTTTTCCTCAATTTGGATAAAAGGTTTGATATATTAACTATCACAATGTTGGTTGACAGAGGTTAGCAATTACTTTTGAATGTGGTGAATTTAATGCATATTTAATTCATGAGCGAACAAATAAGACACTAGATATCAAGAGTTGAAGTGAAGAACATCAACAAACAAAAAAAGTTCTTATCAATTTGATTCTTAAATAACTGTTATAACACGCTAATTACAAATAAACCGGTATACACTTTTTTGTTTAAAATATTCTCTTCTCTTACTTTCTTAAATTACATATTATTACTACTCACCTAACTTTTATAAAAAACAAACTGGGAAAATTTAGTTAATATGTCTATCAAAATATACATGTAAGTCCGATGAAAATTTACATGTATGATTAGATAAAGTCTTTACAAAACATACTTGTATACCAAACATAAACAATTTTCAATATTTTAGGAATTTGTAGTAAAGCAAAGAAAGATTTCAAAATTCTTTTACAAAAAGTTTTCGAGAATTTATTATAAACTTTAAATTCTCATAAAAATTACTTAATGTTAAGAATGTACAAAAACATAATTTTTTCTGCATAAGAATTTTAAACTGTATAGAAAAACTACCTCCCTTGATCTCAAAATTTCATAAGAAATTATCTTAAAGATTTAAATAAGTAGAAAATATCCTACCAATTTTAAATTAAAAAGACTATCCATTAACATATTTGTGAATTTTAATCCATAAACATTCCAGATTAACTACAGATGAGAAAATTTATACAACAAAGATTAAATATGCTAAAACTAATAATGTTAATTAAGATTGATATATAAAACATAATACAGACATGGGAAGAAGAAAGTTACATTATTATTATTATTATTTAGAGATAAATAAATTTTTAGATAGAGTTTGTACCTTAAAGTACTAATCTCTTCTTCCTATTATATTTGCCTTTATAAAATTAGATGCTTTAACATTATTTTTTTTGTAGAAGAAAAAAGTTTAGTTATATTAATGATAAACTGTAATGATTTAATTTAAAAAAAATTAAAGAATCAAATTTACAGTAAAAAGTTACAAGAGTTAAAATATGTGAAACTATACAAACTAAAAATTCATATAAATCTTTACAAANTTAAAAAAAATTAAAGAATCAAATTTACAGTAAAAAGTTACAAGAGTTAAAATATGTGAAACTATACAAACTAAAAATTCATATAAATCTTTACAAAAAGTCAATTACTATATCTTCATGTGTTTCTTCACCATTAATGAGACTGTTTTTTTATTCTCATTCTATTTCATATTGACCAGACTCCCTTTTTTCCACTCCTCCATGTTTTTTTGCTGATAAAAAAAAAAACATTGGATCTCAGAAACAAAAAAAGTCTGAATAGATTAAAACAAAAAAAATGCCCTAAAACTTTAGAAACGGTGCGTCAAAGCCCTTTCCTTCTCCCCCAACAAAAAGACGGTGCTTTCAGAGTTTCAGAGGAAGTGAAGACTAACATTAATTAGGGTAGAGGCCAAACCAGCACCATTTTGAGCTTTGGGTATTTATCAACTTCTCTCTTTTTACTCTTCTTGTCCAAAAGAATTTTCAGTTTCCTTGTCCCTGGAAGAATTTTACACGTCTTGGTAGGGCAAATTCTGTAAATTTTTTAGTTGTTTTTAACTATTTTATGTGATCCTGTATTTGATTCTTGCTTGTAGAATTGTTAATTTGTGTTTTGAATAGCTTCCGCAGCAAAATACTTATGTGTACTGTAGCCCTCATCCTGGTGCTAAGAAGTTATTTTCTAGATCTGAGTGTAATTTAAGTAAACAAGGTTAAAAGTTGTGATCACATTCCCAGTCACAGTTTCATAAAGATTTTGATATTGTAGGAAATTACGGATAAATGTGACCGGTGGTCATCATTGCAGTTTCAGTGACTCTGAAACCCTAGGGGTTGTGGCTGAAATACTAATTGGAGTCTGTTTCTTAAAACCTTGCAGGTAAAAAATGTAATGAATTGTAATTACATGCTTACATTCCTAAATTCCTGGTTTTGAATTTTGACTAGGTTGTTTTTCCTGTAGGAAATGGGTGAACGATGTCATTCAGATGCTCCGTTAGATACTATTTCCAGTGGGAGTGAGGAACACTTGATCTCTCATTTACCAAAAGAATGTAAGATTGGATCCATTAGTTTGGATGAAAATGATGATGATTATCCTGTGCCACGACCTGGAATGATCTTTAGGTCAGAAGCTGAGGCAAGATTGTATTACACAAAATATGCCGACCAAATGGGCTTCAGCGTCAAGACTAGAACCTCAAAAAGGGGAGGTGAAGGCCAAGTTAAATATTTGATACTTGTATGTTCCGAGAGATCAAGAACTGGTATTGATGAATCAAAGAAACAGTATTGTACTGCTAGGATAAATTTGACTTTACGTAAAGATGGAACCTATCAAATTAGTGCAGTTACTCTCGGTCATAATCATGAATTGGGTTCTCAGAGAATTACTATTGAGATGAAGTGTATAAGGAAATTGGATCCAGAAGTTATTGACATGGGTGTTAAGAAGATATCAGAGCAAAATAATTGCGGAAATTACCTTCAGACAGAAAGACAGTGGATTAGAGAAAATGGAGATGGTGATGCTCTTCAGAAGTATTTGGTGAGGATGCAAGAACAAGATAGAAACTTCTTCTTTGCAATTGACTTGGATGATTTGTTCAGCGCGAAGAATGTATTTTGGTCTGATGGAAGGAGTAGAGCTGCATATGAATCTTTTGGTGATGTGGTGACAGTTGATACGACATGCCTTTCCAATCACTACAAAGTGCCACTTGTAACTTTCATTGGAGTTAACCATCATGGGCAATCTGTACTGTTTGGTTGTGGGTTGTTATCATCTGACGACTCAGAGTCATTTGCTTGGTTGTTCGAATCATTGTTGCATTGCATGTCTGGTGTACCCCCACAAGGAATCGTAACAGATCATTGCTGCAGGGCCATGCAGAAAGCAGTTGAAACTGTATACCCCTCCATTCGACATCGATGGTGTTTGTCAAATATAATGGAAAAGCTTCCCCAACTAATCCATGAGTATGCTAATTGCAAGTCCTTAAGAGATCGTATGCATAATGTTGTCTATGAGACACCAACAACAGATGAATTTGAGGGAAAATGGAAGAAGATTTTGGAGGATTTTGACCTCAAAGACAATAAATGGTTGAAGGAATTGTTCCTTGACCGACATCGCTGGGCTCCTTCCTTTGTAAGAGGTGGTTTTTGGGCTGGAATGTATACTAATCCGCAAAGTGAAAGTAGGCATGAAATTTTTGATGGATTTATAAACCAACAAACAACTTTGAAGCAATTTGTTGATCAGTACAATAATGCCTTGCAGTATAAGGCTGAGAAGGAGTATATAGCTGACATACATTCATCCAGTAATAGTCAGACTTGTGTTACCAAATCTCCAATTGAGAGGCAGTTTCAATCTGCTTACACTCATGCAAAGTTTCTGGAGGTTCAACGTGAATTTGTTGGAAAGGCTGATTGTAACGTTTTTGTTGCTTGTGAAGATGGTTCTATTTGTCGCTACAATGTGATAGAGGATATGATAACAGAGGATAAGCCTAAGGAATCCGTGGTTGAAGTCATATATAACAGGGAAGATTGTGATATAAAATGCAACTGTGGCTTGTTTGAGTTTAGAGGTATACTTTGTAGGCACTCGCTTGCAGTACTATCACAAGAGAGAGTGAAGGAGGTCCCGTGTAAATATATTTTAGACAGATGGAAAAAAAATATTGTGAGGAAGCATGTTTGTATAAAAACCAGCTATGGTGTTGTGCATTTTGAACCTCAAGTGCAGAGGTTTGATCTGTTATGCAAACAATTCAATAGTATTGCTGCTGCTGCTGCTGAATTTGAGGGTACAAGTTCTTTTGTAAAGGATACCCTATGTAACTTGAAGGAGAAACTTGACTCATGGACATCGTTACCGATAAACTCTTCTCTTGTGGATGTAGAGAAACACAACAATATGATACATTGAACATGAAGTTTTTAAGGATAAAATATTTTTTGAATTGATGTAAATATGACTAACTTTAGTTGCAAAAGTTATCTTATGGATTTTGATTATCATAATTCTATAATTTTTGAATGGTTACTGTTGATACCTTTTAATGAAATGGATTTAACTAGTTCTTGTGCAATACAGCCGGACGTACATAAAGAATATATAAGATGCTTTAGCAACTGAACTATATATTAAAATTATTAAGAGATTTAGGATTATAACATCAACTATAAGGGTGTTACTCCCTCCACTCCCACACGTCTCTTCCTCCACCTCCCCAATTTTCTAAAATGCCAATTATATCCTTCTAAAATGACAATTATATCCTCAAAAGTTAAAATTTTTTATTTTTATTATTTTAATATTTTAATTTATTTAAAACTTCTGATTTACTTCCCTCTGCACCTCTTCCTCTCTTCCATTTTCGTTTACCTTTCTCTCTTCCGTTAAGCTTCTTCTCCACCTATAACAAATTCATATTTTAACAAATTCATATTTTAACAAAATTATTACGTTTAAAAACTAACCATATATAACATTTAAAATTATAAATTTAAATATAAATTACTGTAAATAAAATAAACAAATAAAATAAAAACGAAACGTAAAAGGAACACTGCCTCTGGACGGATGACATCCTTCAACGGATGTCAACATCCGTTGAAGGCAAAACGGATGTCGACATCCGTTTTGCCTTAAACGGATGTTGACATCCGTTGAAGGATGTCATCCGTCCATAGGCAGTGTTCCTTTTACGTTTCGTTTTTATTTTACTACGTTTTGCGGCTCATGCAAGGATTATAGGCTTGGATATTAAAAGGATTATTGGAAGTATGGGAAGGATTTAGGGTTTAGGATTATTGGAAGGATTATGACTACGTACCTGGAGAGGAACCACGACAAGGACACTACACCATAAACGCACTGCACCACGTACTGCACCGAGAACAAGAAGAAGATTGTTTGATAATTCTTTTCACGATCACCAAGCTTTGTAGAAAAATATTTTACTCATACAAAAAACTACGTAGGTTATCAGTGAAATATGTTATAAATGAATAAAATTAAAAAACAACAATTTTAAAAATAAAATTTTACTGAGGGGCAAAATAGTAAAGGAAAGGTGGAGGAAGGGGCAAAATAGTAAAGGGGAGGTGGAGGAAGAGATGTGTGGGGGTGGAGGGAGCAACACCCCAACTATAACATCCTTGGTGAGAGTAGCTTGTCGAGATTTAGGATTATACAACTTATATCCTCCAATAGAATTATATCCAATCAAAATCAAAGGCATCTCTTTATCATCTAATTCTTTTTTCAATTGATCTAATACATGTTTATAACACACAAAATCAAAAATTTTCAAATGAGTGACACTTAGTTTTACCTCAAATCATACTTCCTCAAGTGTAACACCTTTCAATCTCTTTGTTGGAGATTTGTTCAGAATATAAGTAGTATCAACACAGTCTCTTTCTACATAAAATTTGACAACCTTTTACTCTTCAACGTACATATAACCATATTCAATATGGTTATGTTTGTCCTTTCTGTTGTTCCATTGTGTTGTGGTGTATAAGGAGGAGTAATCTTATGTACTATATTCTCATTTTCACAAAATTCTTTAAACTCAATGGAGATATACTTTCCTCCTTCATCTGTGGTAAATATTTTAATCCTCTTCCCACTCTGTCTTTCTACCATACATTTAAACTTTTGGAACACTTGCAACACTTCACATTTTCTTTTAATAAAGTATGTTCAACTCTTCCTAGTCCAGTCATCAACAAACAACATAAAATACTTGTTGCCCTCAGGTGTTTCTGTCTGATTGGACGACAAACATCTTAGTACATCACTCCCAATTTCTCTGTTGTCTTTTAGGGAAAATATTTTTGAAAACTCCCATTGGTTTGCTTGCACTGAATGCACTCCTTACACATTTTTTCTGGTATGCTAACCATAGGTAAGCCATTCACCATATCCTTTTGGCTTAATTGAGATAAATCTCTAAAATTTAGATGTCCAAACCTAAGATGCCATAACCATTCTACACTATTTTCTGATGCAGCAAATCATTGGTGTTTGACTGCATTCATCACCACCAGAAAAGTCCTATTTTTGTGACAAATCAGCCTGGACAATGATTCTCTTGTTATGATAAAAACTATCGAGAAATTGTTCTTCATTTTCATCACAAACCCTTTCTGAAGCAATTGGCCTAGACTGAGCAGGTCAGTCTTTAGGCCTGACATATATAGAGCTTCTTCAATCACTACTTCTCTCCCATCACCATTCCTTAAGACCACCCTTCCAGAACGTTATACTGTTAGACTTCTGTCATCAGCAAATTTAATTTTTTCATGCATAACTTCTTGCATTTTCACAAACCATTCCTTCTGCTCTTTGTTCTTTCTCTCCTCTGCTCTTCGTTTCTTTCTTCTCCTTTGAAACCCTAGAACATGTTCTCATAGCATTAACAAGTTCATGTACCTTATCAAAGTATTATGCCATAGTTTCACTTTTATCCATAGTCAAAATTTCAAACTGCCTTCTCAACGTTTGCAGCCTTACCTTTTAGTTTATATCACCATCATCGTAGGTCTTCATCAAAATCTCCTAGATTTCCTTGGCAGTTGTTGCTTTGAAAATTTTTGTTGAAAATCTTTGGTCTCACACATTGATATATGAGGAACCTTGCCTTGCTATCTAACTTCTACTGCAATTTGTAGCTTCTTTTTTCCTTATCAGTTGCCTTCCTGCATGGCTCCTCAAGACCATACTCTATCACCTTTGCCACATCCTGGAAGCCAAAGATGGCTAACATCTTGATTTTTCAGTCATCAAACATCTTCCCATCAAAAATTGGAAGTGGCCCATGTATTCCTCCAAACCTTGCCAAATTGTTTCTTGATCAAGTATTGAAACTTCTTGGACCACCTTATTTCACCTGAAAGGATTTTGCACTTCCAAAAAACACTTCTTGCTAGAATACAAACTCCACCAGACCTTGATCTCATCCACATTCCACACAGATATTTTCTATTAAGCTCTTCATACCATCCAAGGTTTCAAAGAAGAAGAAAGAAACGGAGAGCAGAGGAGAGAAAGAGCAGAGAACAGAAGGAATAGAGAAAAAATCTTCAGATCTCAGGTAAACTGAATATACTTTGAGTATACTTGCTTGATTTGTGAATGTATACATTTATAAGAGAAATACAACCGAACAACTGATTCTATTTTTTATTTATATAACAACATTAATAAGCTCGACATTCATACTTGTATCTGGATGGTCAGACCTAAGTGCATGATATGCATAAGATGTTTGTTTAACTTTGTATGAAATGTGATGAAAGATGCATTCTGATATTATGTGTTTGTTTCTTTTAGCATCAGTTTACCCTTTTTACGTTTCTTTGTCTATGTCTGTTTGTATGTTCTTGTTTTCTCCTTTGCAATGATTACCTTAATGGTGTGAGTTTAGGAACACGTCTTTCAATTGATCCAACGAGTGATGCGACGAAACATTGACATGGTTAAATTAATTCTCCATGAGTAAGTCTTCAACCTTCTAAATCTCAAATTTTGAAATCAAGTTATCATATTTTTGTATTTATTTTAGTAGTTTTATACTAAGTAAAATGGGATGTTACATATATAAAATTATATAATTTTATATTATTTACTTCATATATATATATATATATATATATATATATATATATACATTTTAATAGATATTATATGTATATACTGTTAATATGTGTCTTTTATTTTTTTTCTTAGATGAGCAGCTGAAATTAATTAGGTACGGGGTGAAGAAAAATGAAAACTAAAAATGGAGTACAATCTTCTCATTTTAGAATATTATGTAAATTTTTCTTGTAAAACTTTTCAAATTTTAAAGAAAATTATTTTTCCTAATTATTATGTATATTTTTAATTTAGTATGAATTTTCTTTTGGATAGAAATTTATAAATAATACATTAATAAATCTACTTTCTTTTGCAGATTTAAAATTTATAGGATGTTTTCCATTATTATTTTAAGTGTACAACCAAATTTCTTTTAAAATCTTTTAGATCCAATTTTATGTACGGTCTAAATTTGTAGATAGGTAATATATATATATATAAGTAAAAAATTATTTATGTATTTTGATTAATTGCTTTTGAAACAACAAAAGTTTAAAACATAAATGTTTCGTATGAGACGCAAGTGTTATACAAGAGATAATATAAAACGAAATAAATTTTGTATGTTAAATATGTTTATGTTTCGTCTAATAATAAAATCTATATTAGACTTATGCATTTATGAACTTAATTTATGTGGTAAAGAATGTTTTCATCTTAGACATTTACAATAAAATTTAACAAAGTGTAAGTTAATATTAAAGATTTCTTAAAAGATATGTTAAAACTGCTTCTCACTATGTTTCGAACAATAGTCAAATTCTTAATTATGAATGATTGCTTACTCAAATAATAATTTGGCTGTTTTGGCAATGAGTAATTAAGGTTTTAAATAATACTCATTTAAATCTTTACAACATTAGTTTATTTAATAAAACTCAAATATTACCTTACATTTATTCTCTTCTCTTACTTTCTTAAATTACAAATAAACCAGTATACATTTTTTTTGTTAAAATATTCTCTTCTCTTACTTTCTTAAATTACATATTATTACTACTCACCTAACATTTATAAAAAACAAACTGGAAAAATTTATATAATATGTCTATCAAAATATACATGTAAGTCCGATGAAAATATACATGTATGATTCTTATGGATAAAATATTTTTTAAGGATAAATATTTTTTGAATTCAGGTAAATATGACTAACTTTACTTGCAAAAGTTATCTTATGGATTTTGATTATCATAATTCTATAATTTTTGAATGGTTACTGTTGATACTTTTTAATGAAATGGATTTAACTAGTTCTTGTGCAATACAGCCGGACGTACATAAAGAAAATATAATATGCTTTAGCAACTGTAATAAGAGAAAAAATTAATATTCTTGCAAAATCAATCTTAGCACTAAATGCTAAAAGCTTAGAGCCTCGTTTTGAACTGTTATCAAGAAAACCAACAAAATAAAGACAAAAATAGGAGTTAGATTTAGTGACTTAATCAATTGAAGAATGCAAAACAAGTATTCAATGCAATGACCCATATGAGAGTGAGTCCTAATGTTTGCAGCTACACTACGATGATAAATGGACTAATAAGGAACGATAGGATGGATGAGGCTATAAATCTCTTTCAGGAAATGCAACAGAGGAATATGGTTCCTGATACAGTAACTTACACTACTCTTATCGATGGTTTTTGCAAATATGGGAGAATAGCTTATGTTTGGGATCTTATTGATGAGATGCATGATAGAAATCAACAACCAAACACAATCACTTACAGTTATTTGTTAGATGCTTTATGAAAAAGCTATAATCTAGACAAGGCATTTGAATTATTCAAGACGATGATGGAAAATGGAATTCAGCCTAATAGATACACTTGGAACATACTTATTGATGGAATGTGCAAAGGGGGAAAACTTGAGAAGGCACAAGAAATCTTTAAAGATCTTTTAATTAAAGGCTACCCTTTAAATGTATGTAATTATAATACTATGATCAATGGTCTTTGTAAAGAGGGTTTTCTTGATGAGGCATTGACCTTATGGTCCAAAATGGAAGACAATGGTTGCTTGCCTGATGCAATAACTTTCGAAATAATGATTAGGGCTCTATTCGAAAAGGATGAGGCTGATAAGGCAGAGCATTTCTTTATGAAATGATATCTAGAGGCTTGTTGTAATATAAAATGTAAAACCTCATTTATTAGAGTGTTATCTTCCTGCAACTTACTCTTTCCATGCTGCATATTGGATGTGGAGTTGATATTTTTTTATTTTTTTATTTTGTACCCTGCATTTTGATTGCTATAGAACTTCTGTTTTCTTTGACATTGCAATTTTATTGTAGAATTTGTTTAACTTATTAGTACAGGGGTTGAAATGAATGATTTCATTGTCTTTCTAGACCAAAATGGTGACGTCCCTCCCTATGTCTAAAATCTTGATGGCTTTTTTATTTTTAACAGTTTGATATTACCCATTCTTGTTTGTCAGAGCCCAAATATGTTTTTTCTTTAGGGCTGTCAGCGTTGCACCTCAGGGAAGCCATATTTCTTTCATTATTGTAGAACTCACATTTTCATAAAGAAATATGGTTTAAGTGTGCAAGGAAATAAAGTTAGGGGACGAGGAAGAAAAACAGTGGATTTACTTGGGACAACTCGAATCCCCGTGATAATAGATAATGCACAGCTATTGATCATGTGGTGGGGAAATTGTTGGGCAAAAGTTTCAAGTTGATTTTACTTCTAGAGGTTCTCTACCACTTAATAACATCAGTAAAGAAGCGTACTATCATACCATATTACCTTATTGATATTTTGATGTAACTCATTACAAGTTTTCTATTATGTAAATAAGCTTCACTCCAGTGAAATCCAATAATATGTTCTTTGTTTACAAAATAATCAGTCTTGCTGCATAAATACTGCTGCTGTTAAACAGAGAAATGGTAGACACAATATTGATCATTGGCATGTAGGATCAGAAAATCTATCTACTGGGAGATTAGTTAGTGGTAGTTTTGTTGAACCAAGTGTAATCATTGATTTCTTACCTGTTGCAAACTGTTTTCCAATTTTCAAATATTTGTGTCAGCCTATAAGGCTTATTTTCTGGATAGTTTTAACCTTTTTTTTTTACAATTGGTATTAGTTAGTTTAGTTTTAGAGGGAGAAGCAGCTTTAGTTTTTGTTTTCTTTCAAGGTCTGCACAATTTAATTTCTGTCCGTTGGCTCCAATTTTCGTTTGGCATTCCAGATTTGTATTCTTCTCTAATCTCTTTTACTTTCGTTGGTTTCATTCAATTTCTTTACTGCTTTTGCTATTGGAATTAAGTTCTAAATCAATGTTCTTAAAGTCTTATCTCAAATTAATTATTTTTTAATGTTATAATTTTTTTTTATTAAATCTTAATTAACAAGAGAACATACTATAAGAGTGTCTTGCGGAGCGCAGTGCCGTTACATTCTGTGTTTTGAGCAGTGTGTAGATGGAGAAACAGCAAGTATTGTAATGTTCCATTGCATGGAGCCGGAAGCAGAAGACGTTCTTTCACCGGAGCCTCAGCGTCGCTCCATCTGCTCCAACTGCGACCGCCCCACGCGCGTCTGTCTCTGCCACGCGCTTCCTTTTCCTCCGATTCAAACCGCCACTCGTATCCTCATCGTGCAACACCCTCACGAGGCTCGCCACAAGCTCTCCACCACCCCAATCCTCAACAAGTCCCTCCTCCGCGCCTCCTCCGTCACCTCCCGCCGCCTCCGTCGCGGCCTCTCCCCAATCCTCGACCGCTCTCCCCCCGCCCTCTACCTCTTCCCCTCCTCCGCCTCCTCCACAACCCCCGCCCTCCACATCTCCGCCGTGCGCCCCTCCGCCGACCTCGTCCTCATTGCCTTCGACGCCACGTGGCAGCACGCTCGCGAGATGGTTCGGGCCAGCGAGAATTTCCTCTCCGAGTTCGCCACTAGGGTTTGTCTGGACGTGGATGAGAGTATTGGCGGCGGAAGCATTTATGACTCCGAATTGATTTTGCGGAAGGAGCCTTTCGCCGGGTGCGTTAGCACAATGGAGGCTGTGGCTCGGGCCTTGCGCGTGCTCGAGCCCAATGGGCCCGAGATTGAAGAGAAGCTGGTTGGGGTTTTGAGGGAGATGGTGAGGTTGCAGGCTGGTTTCTTGAAGCCCGTGAAGCCCAGGCCGAAGTTGTTGAAGAAAAAGTCCGAGGGAAAGGAAAAGAAGGAGGGTTCTGTTCAAGGTTAGTTAGTGGTTTTCTTTCTCTCTGTTGACGTTACCTGTAATTAGCATTTGGGTTAGTGGTCTGTAGTGAGTACATTTTTTTTTTGTTTTTTAAGAAATGATTATAGATGGCAATAGGTCAATTCAACTAAGCAAACATGGTTTATTGTGCTAGTTGTTGATGTTTGGTAAAAAGAAGGTAGAAGTTATCATGAAAAAAATCATTAAGATGGGAAACTCATAAACTTTGAGATTTTTAATAAATTTCAACTGATAAAATTCAATTTGTGAGTGCATGTTTGGTAAATTGATTTTAGTTTTCTTGTGTGTTGTTGATGTGTTGATAGGGTGGCCTTTAATTTTACACGATATAGTTTTGGAGTTCCACACTGCTTTCAGACCAAAATCAACTATTTCTTGATGAGCTACATTTTTTAAAACACAAGAGTGGTTCAAAACAAGTATTAATTATGTTGAAAATGACACACGACGGTTATAGGAAGCTATAAATTATGTTGAAGTTATATCATGTGCAAACATCAAATAAATGGATGGCCATGTTTTGCCAAATTAAGCTTTTGCACTTAATGTAGAAGGAGAGTAATTTCCATCCTCATTCGAAAGAGAGNCATTTTTTTTTGTTTTTTAAGAAATGATTATAGATGGCAATAGGTCAATTCAACTAAGCAAACATGGTTTATTGTGCTAGTTGTTGATGTTTGGTAAAAAGAAGGTAGAAGTTATCATGAAAAAAATCATTAAGATGGGAAACTCATAAACTTTGAGATTTTTAATAAATTTCAACTGATAAAATTCAATTTGTGAGTGCATGTTTGGTAAATTGATTTTAGTTTTCTTGTGTGTTGTTGATGTGTTGATAGGGTGGCCTTTAATTTTACACGATATAGTTTTGGAGTTCCACACTGCTTTCAGACCAAAATCAACTATTTCTTGATGAGCTACATTTTTTAAAACACAAGAGTGGTTCAAAACAAGTATTAATTATGTTGAAAATGACACACGACGGTTATAGGAAGCTATAAATTATGTTGAAGTTATATCATGTGCAAACATCAAATAAATGGATGGCCATGTTTTGCCAAATTAAGCTTTTGCACTTAATGTAGAAGGAGAGTAATTTCCATCCTCATTCGAAAGAGAGAATATTAATAATCAAGGACCATTCCACTTCCGTTACCAACTAATGCTGTGGATTGTAATTAGAAATTGCTTTAACATTTATGGCAAATGAAATCTCACTGCTAATCATAACAAATAAACAATTTACATTCCCATTTGCATTGATAAGCTAATGAAATGAAGAGGAATCTGGATTCACGGGCTGTGCCTACTAATGTTGCAGTTCGTGTCATTTTGAGGTATACATGAAATAAAAACTATGTTCCAGAAAAGATATGATACAGGGTTGATAGTGAAACTGAAGAATCTTCATTGTTTTTCAATTTCTTCATGAAGCTTGGATTTCACATAGAAGAATTTAGATGGTGAGAATATGGGCTTCTAGGACTAAGTTGATTTGACTAATATTGTGTTCTAACTATTTATTATTCCTCTTGCTTTCTTTCAACACTTCATGAATGCATACAATTGAAAAATAGGAAAGGAAAATGCAAATTTTACTCATCAAAATTAATATGAATGTGGAGCGTAGGTTAAGACATGAGAGGGGACTGCAGACCATTTTTGACATGCGACTTCCTCAGGTATATATATATATATTTAAATCTTTACTCATTCTAATTGTTCATGCCTTCTGAATATATTTCAATCTTCCCAAAGTTGAGGGGCTGGGCAGCCTTCTTACTTATGCCTCAAGTAATAGATGAAGTCATTGCATTTACAGATAGTGTCAAACAAGTTTTGAAGGAAAATGGTATTGGGAGAAGTAAATAACTAATCACTATATATATATATATATATATATATATATATATATATATATATGTATGTATTTATGTATGTATGTATGAAAAAGAGAGAGAAAGGGAGGGAGGAAGAGAGAGTTATATATAACTTGTAAGAGTGTAAGTTAATTACTTTTGCCTGTAGATGTTTTTCCAAGACAGTTAAACATACCTTTTTGGAGAGAAGAAAAAAATGAAAGAAAACGATGATGCACGTAAGTCAAAATCAACTTAGTCCTAAAAGCTCATATTCTTGGTACTAGTCTATCACATAAGATACCATATTCATGATTTGTAAAAAAGGAAAAAAACACGATCAACTTCATGAAGGAAGGAGCAGGGGAATTGGTTTCTTGTGTATATTGCACCAGGTACATTCTTGATGGGATGATGATCTGTCAAAACTCATCCAATATCTGTACATTCGAAATAAACTGGGGCTTAATAGATAATTGATGGCAGAAAACTAGGAGATACCATAGTTGTTCCAAGATAGACTCTGGCATCATAGAAGCGGGGTCTCTGATTCTGCTTGTTACAATGACTGGGCAGATGAGCTGATAATTGATATTTAAAGCTCGGTTTCCATGAAAGCTCCAGAATAGCCCAACAAACTACAGAAGAATTCAAATATGCGCATTGGGGTCATCAGAGGATGACTGGATCTTTAGTTCCAGAGACATTACCATTCTTGGAATTAGCCGCCAAAATATGGTAATGGACTAAAAATTGCCAGAGCCACCCATTCCTAACACATTTGACCCGTTCCCTTTTAGTGAAAAGTTGGATCATTACTGACATGATCTTGGGTTGAGTTGGATATGGTTTGCAGAAAACCATCATTGCGTGGGTTTGAACGTGGCATACGAAATGGGTTGAGTTGGATTCACTTAGATGAGTTACCAAGGTGCGTGTATGGCTTAGGCTCAGGAAGTGATGTGTGTTGAATGATGTCTTTGTTCTGGGTTTTTATAATGGTTGTAGAGCAACCAGCATCTTACACCGTAGTCCTAACCGGGAAGGGAAGTATAATCTAAATCAACATCTGAAGGAAAGGAATAATGAATACTTGATACTAGTCGAAAAGGAGATGCAGGTGCTTGTTTTGTGTCTCCATTTTCCAAGTTTTGTAAATATTCAAATCCCAAAGATTTAGCAGCAAAGTCTAGAATGTGATTACCATGCTATACTTTTCCCAAGGAGAGGACTAATTCGAGAGTAGAATCGGGTAACGTGCATGGCCACATCTTCTATTTTTTAAATTAGAGTTAGTTACGATATAAATTAACATTTCAATCATCATTTGCATCTATCTACTTATCTATAATATTAAAGCTCTTATTAAATTTCTCAAACCAGCTTTTCAACTTTTGTTTATCACTTTTATTTATTCTTTCTTCAGTCTTCTCTTATTAACTTTTCAGATGTATATGGACTTCTACTTTTATTAACTTTCTTCAGTTTCTTCTATAGAAAAACTGCACTTACATGAGGTTATCATTCATCATTCACACTGTATAATTTTTAAATAAGTCTACATCTTCGAGTATTTAGAAATGACACTTACCTTCGCATTATTTTTAATACAGCGATACTCATCTTTTATTTTATTTATAAAAGTGATTTTTTTTTATTTCTTTTCATAAAAATGGATTTAATTTCAGTATTCTAAATAAATTAAATAACGTATAAAGTGAAAACACATGTTAGATGATGAATGTGACACGTGGAGAAAGCACCAAAACATGTTTTATGTAACTGGCACGGTAGGAATGGCTTATTAAGTATCCCTGAAGCCAGAAGAAAAAAAAGGCTCGTATTCTCATTTAATTTAGGTTTAATAGCCAATTTAGTCCTCACTTTGGTTGAAAAATCTCAATTTAGTCCCTCGTTATAAAAGTGTTTTGAATTAGTCCTAACTTTTAAAATAGTGGGTCAGATTGGTCCTTTCTGTTAAATATAAGTTAACAAAATTAATGGATGATGATGTGACACAACTTAAAGCTGTGTCATATCATCATCCATTAATTTCGTTAACTTATATTTAACGAAAGGGACCAATCTGACCCACTATTTTAAAAGTTAGGACTAATGTAAAACACTTTTATAACGAGGGACTAAATTGAGATTTTTCAACCAAAGTGGGGACTAAATTGGCTATTAAACCTTTAATTTATGCAAATTCTTTCTACACCTTCATACTTTTTGTCCAGCAGTACTCTGCAAATATTAAAATTTTCATTTCGTCCTTTCTAGAATAATCTAAACGTAAAAACGATTTTTAGATTTAGATTGTGTAATTTGGAAGAAAAAAATGACTTTTTAGATTTGTATTATCTAGAAACCATTATGGTTTTATAGATTAATCACTTTTAATTTCTGGGTTGACTTTTTAATTATGTACTAAAAGTATTAAAAGAAATTATTACTAAATTATGTAATCTTAAACTATTCTTATTCTATACAAAACTCAATGATTTTTGGATAGTTCAATACAGAAGTTTTCCAGACTTTGATTTACAGTTTGCATAATTCAAAAAGTGCAAAATGGGAAATTTAATATTCATTGCCTTCAATTTATACCACCTTAAGCGGGTTAGCGACGTCTCCCACCTTAACTCAACTTGTAATGTTGAGATTTAGTATTAAGGACACTATTCTAAAATTAAAAGATAAAAAGCAAAATGTTGAACACTAAAGAATTTCTCTATAAATTAATGTTCAATATTTTTTAGTATTGGTTTTTTATTGATATTGATGACCTTGTAATTAATAATTATACTTTTACTTTTCATTTCAGAATTTTCCTAAAACAATCAGTTTCAGAGATTGTGAACTGATTATTTTATGTTAAGGTGCAACGTAAAACCTTATGGAGTATATATATACGAGTCAAAGTTATTTATTTTCTAATTTTTTACAAAGCTTAATATTGACATCTTCATTGTATCTCTTTCATTTCCCATCACATATCATACTCTTTACTTTATTTTTTTCCTATCTCTGTTTTCTTTTCAAAGGTGTTGTGGGTACATCACTTGATGTTTACACTCTCGTAAAGCACATATGAGAAGTTTTAGGAACACTTTGTTACCAGTTAAATTTTATAAAAGGAATTACATAATTATGAATGCAGTCATTAAACAAAGACTCAAACCTTTATAAATTTTTTATCTAATTTTCAATAAATTTCAATAAATAATACAGATGTGTTAGGAAAGAATGTGTATCAATACATGTCATTAAAGATACAGCTAACATAGAATACTACACTGTTTCTGTTTTTTTCTAACCTAAATTAACATTTCATTCTGCAATTGTTATCAGTTTTAACAGGACAATATCCTTCTTAACTCTGCTGTTTGGTGCTACGCTTGCTCCTGCGTTCACACTGAAGAGAAATTATCAATATGATGTGAATCATACCAAACCAATTGAAGTTGTTCTTGATCGCTACCATGCATATTGGCAATGTGCAGCCATAGAAAATTCTTGATGGTCATCATCACAAAGACAAAAGCATCCGCAGTAAAGGCAAACATTCCTTCTCCCTCCAAGCCCAAATGCAATGTTAATGTCAACATGGCATCAAGCAGAGAGTAGTTATGGCCAGGCTTCAACAAAATGATTATGGAGAGTGAATCAATGGTTAGAAAAACACATGTAAGCCATTCAGCTACGTCAGAAGACCCATCTTGGTGTTTCTGTTCAATTCCCGAAATCAGAAGGGACATGACCCGCATAACTATGAACTCTCCTATAGACTTGAGGAAGGAGTGGTTCTTGAACCTCTCGTATGCTGAAGTGAAGAAGCTGAAGAAGAGAAGAAAAAACACAAAGAGAAAGTGCACCACAATCACAGAAAAAACCACAAGACTCGCATGGTTATGGCCACCACTAAGATGTGTTTTGTAAAGCTCGGTTTCCATGAAGAAGCAACATGCTAACATGAAGCTTATTAGACTGACTATGAAACAAAGTACACGCATTGGGGTCACCAGGGGATACACATTCTGTGCTAACCATATCTGGGGTGGGGTTGGATAATCAATGTTATGATTAACACCCCTCCAATAATAACGCAATACATGTCTAAAAGTCATTCTTGTTTGGTTTAGATTATGGTTTTGTGGATTAGTAATGGAATGACTATTTGAGGAGAAATTAGTAGTACCTGTTAAAGGGTTTTGGAAGCTGTTTCCTGGGTCAGGAGGAATGTTCAATGTAGAGTTAACCTGTGGTTGAACATTTGTTGAAGGTGAAGTTGACATGTATGAGAAAAAAAAGGGACAAGATTGGGTTGTTTTATAATATTTAACGAAGGAAAACTCAACAATGATGTTATTGTTTCATCTGGACAAGGCCAAGGGGTCTTATACTTGGAAAGTTTCGTGCTGTCAATTTTGTTTAGAGGAATAAAGTATTCCCCCGTTTTGCTTAATTACTGATAAAGAAATGCATAAGGATAAAAGCAGTTGAAGAAAGTAATCTCGCTTTTCTTGAGATATACTCAATGTCTGTGTTCACATCAGAACAGTAAGTATCACATACATAGAGAGTACAAATACTGAAGGAAGTAAGTGCAAAGCTTTCATTGTTGTATTTTTTTTTTTCATGTGTTTTTTGTCCATTGCTTTAGAAAAAATTATGTAGTAGCTAGGGAGAAGAAGTTCTTGCTTTTTGGTGTTACTAGGACAATAAGTTAAAAATAAAAAAGGGTTAGTTTTTTATTTATTGCCCGTGAATTTTTTCAATAGATTTTTCAATTATACATAGTGATATAGTATTAACTTCATTAAATATCAATTATATAACAATACTCTCTTTGTGTACTGATATGATCATTTCTGAATTTGATTTCTTCATAGCATAAACAAAGAAACTCATAGAGAACAAAAATAGAAATATCACAATCTAGCAAATTGATAAGTGTTGGAAATCCAAGTATGAGTCCAAGTCTCACATTGGATAAAAATGAGAAAGTAAAGTAGTATATAAAGGTGTAAGGCTCTTTAGCCCATTGTCTTAAGGTTTTGGGTAAAGAGTGATGTCGATTCCTTATATAGTTTACTCAGATGTAATTGGTGTTTGTGTAACCCACATAGAACCTCCTCCTTGATAGACTCAACAATAAGTTCATAAATATTTGTCATAAAATTTTTAATCTTTGATAAGAACCAATGTCTTAAGACAAGGACTAACAAAATCCTTTTTCTGATGAATTTAAACTCATATTGACTATAAAAAAATGTTTACATTTGTTTTTGGTGTAATTATATATAAACCACAAGTGTTTAAGCAATCTAAGAAACACAAAAGAAGACTTAAAGACACTGAGCCGCAAAAACAACTCGAAAAATGAGGTTTGCAGACACGAATGCTCGTTAGTGAGATCAGCTTGCCCAATGAGATCTAAAAGTTTTTTTCCTCAAATTTGTATCTACATCAAATGGAGACAAGTCATTAATATTAAAACTAAAATTTATTCCATAATCTTTAGGTAGATCAACAATGCAAGCGTTATCATAATTCTTTCAAGAATTTGAAATGGACCATCTCCTTAGGGAGGAGTTTAGATTTCCTTTTGAAAGGAAACTTCTCCTTCCTAAAGTGAACTAACACCCAATCTTCGATTTCAAACTTGATCTTGTTTCTCCCTTCGTTAGCCTTAGAAGCTAACTTTTTCATCTTCTTTTCTATTTTTGTCTTTACTTCCTTATGCAAGTTCCTAATAAAAGTAACTTTGACAAGACCATCTTTGTTAGTCATAGAATCAATATTAGGAAAATGCAACAAATCTAAAGGAGTTAGATGATTAAAACCATAAACTACTTCAAATGGAGACATATGAGTAATAGAATGAACTACCCTATTATACGCAAACTTCACATGAAGAAATCAATCTCTAAAGTTCTTAAATTTTTATTTACAAAGAATCTAAAGAATTGATAAAGAGTTATATTTACCACCCAACTGTTTCAGGATATAGTAGAGAAAAAAAGTTTTGTACCTAATTATCCCACAATTCTAAAACTGACTAACAAATTTTATATCTTTATCCAACAAAATGCTCCTTGGAATGTCACGTAGTCTCATCGCTTCTTTGAAAAATAGGTTGGCCACATGATTGACATCGTTACTCGTGTGGCAAGGAATAAAGTGATTCATCTTGAGAACTTGTCAATCACAATCGAAACAAAACCTTTTACTCACTTGAA